CATTGCTGAATTCCTAATACTTTCTTCAGTGAAATTTTGAATCATTTCTAACACTTTTTTTTTAACATGTATTTAGCACAGGGTCTACAGGGCCTCACTACACAGATCAGACTCGTAGTAATCCTTCTGTTTTCAGCCTCCCAAGTGCTAGGATTACAGGTATGCACTACTACACCAAGTCTCATTCCCCCTCTCAGAGCAACCCAGGGTCGGGGCTGGCACTGCACACCAGGGATCAAACCCCAGTCCCTGTGCCTAAGCAGATGCTTTAGTCCATGAGCCATCTGGCCAACCCTATTTTGTATTGTTTAAAAAATGAAAATTTTTTTAAAAATTAAAAATAAAATAACTACAGTTAAGACTTATCACATCGACCTGTACACAGATGTGTTTCCTAAGGTGATTTCAGGTCCTCTTTCAAACAATGAGACAAAATACTGATAAAAGTAGATGGACATCTAATTACTTTAAAGCTTGCTCTTTAATTAAAACTGGTCAGAATAAAGACCATCCTTCTTCATCTAATCTTTTCCACAGCTTTAGAATCTAGGTTCCCTAAGAGCAACCAGATGAAAAAAACTGTGACTTGTATCATACTTTTTTTTTGAGAAAGGGTCTCACTTGTATTCTAGGCTGACTTGAACTCTCAAGTTCAGCTTCCTCAGTGCTGGGATTACATGTGTGTGCCACTATGCCCAGCTATATAATTTCTTCCTCAAAAAGATTAAGGAAGAAAATCCTCCATTAGGAAACAAAGGATCTCATGAAGCAAAACAGATCAGTATACTACAAAGAAAGGAGTTTATTAATCTGGAACATGATTCTAAAGATTATAGAGGTATTACAACCAAGTAATGAACATTCACGTCCTACCTCCTTTCCCACCACGAAGTCTAGGTTCCAGACTATAAACAGCTCCATGTTGTACTGGGCTACTGATGTTAACGAGGGCTCCACTGCATTTCACAAAGAAGCATTCCAAAGGCACATCCTAGAGACAAGTTTGGGTTTTAATGCCTTTCATGACATAATAAAGTTTTGCTATGTTTTTGTTATACCACTTACTAGCACGTATGGTGTTCAATTAATATTTGTTGAACTAAAGATTAAAACTACTAACAGAGTCATTTCATATAATACATTCTGGGTAGACTTTTTCTAGTACCTAATCATGATACACTGACCTTTCAGTCTTTTTTTGATAAAAATAAAAACTATTTTTCTTTGTCTCATAGGTCACCTGAATCTTGAGACTATGTGGGCCTCTGATCCAATAGCTCCAGAGGTTATTTCCTCTGACTTTTTAAAAAAAAATTATTTTTTTTTTAAATTTTATGTATTTATTTATGTGTGTGTGTGTGT